CATATGATCTTTGTTGCAAATACTCAACTCTGGTAGCATGAAAGCAGCCACGGGTGATAAATAAGTATGAATGTGTTCCAATAAAACTTTGTCAACACTCAAATTTGTTCTTCATATAATTTTTATGAAATGTCACAAACTATTTTCACTTTTCAGCCATTTAGGAAATGTTAAAAAAAAATTCTTAGCTCTTGGGCCATACAAAAATAGGCAACAGGCCCAATTTGGCCCCCAGGCCATTGTTTTGCTGACCCCTCACTTACTGGATTTGAGATACAAAGGAATAAGCCTTCAGAAATAACTGAAGCTTTGAGCCTGAGTCACTGAGAAAATTAAATTATCATTGGCAGATCAGGGAAGTGAGGAGGAGAGGGAACAGTTTGTAGAAAAGAGGAAGTTCAGTTTTAGGCAAGTCAGTTGGTGTTTCGCACCAGTAAATAACCCTCCCACTACCTGTGCCACCATAAACAAGTGGGATCAAAGAGTGATCATCATACATGAGTGGAATCAGAACAACCAGTGCTCGACCTGCAGGTTTGAAAAGCATCAAATCATTTACATATAGGTTCTGGCTGACCTAGGAGAGGAAGAGATCTGTTGGGAGAATACTTTGAAAGAACAGCAGCAAGTCAAGGGCTAATCCTAGAAAAAGCTCAGTTTGGGGCAGGAAGAGGGAGTTGGTGAAGGAGACAGGGTATATGGCTTGAAAGTGGATGCTTGGTCTGTTTGGAGGTAAATTAGTAGGCCCTGCTGGAGCCAGATCTTGTGGAAGAAACAGCAGCGCTTTATCCTCATACTGTCCTTTTTCCTGTCCCCTAATGCATTCTCTCTACCAGTGGATGCGTGAGTAAACTAAGTCTCATAACTTCTGAATCAATATTCTGTCTCTTGGAATATGTTTCAAAGACCCTTTTACACAGCTCCATCAGGCAGCAGCTACAAGAGTATGTTGCAGTATGATTTTTGGTGTTGGGGCCTGGAAGCAACCTAGCTGTTCGAAATGGGGAGTGTGGATAGATAAAATATGGATTCACATCGTGGAGCACTAAGCAACAGCTAGAGCAACAAAATGCATATGATATAACAACATAAATGGACACTTTAAGAAGATACGTAGTGGGGAAAGGAAAGCATTTTATATATACAGGACATTCTGTAAACTAGAAATGTGCACAAACTTCAAGAACACCCACCAAAAGACACACAGTAAGTATATTAGAAGGGTTACCTATTGGTGAGGGGAAGGAATGGAAGTGAGATATGAGACAAAGGAAGCAACAAAAAAATTTCGAGAATTTATTTTATTTTTTTTAAGAGGAAGGGAGAGGGAGAGAGAAGCATCGATGCGAGAGCAAGACATTGATTAGCTGCCTCCTGCAGGGGTCCTATGGGGGATCAAGCCTGCAACCTGGACATGTGCCCTGACTGGTTTTCAAACCCTCAACCTTTTGGTGCACAGGACAACGCCCAAACAACTGAGCTACACTGGCCAGGGCCAAAAATAATTTAAAAGAGTAAAACAACTTAAATGATATGATGTAGATATACCCATGGGATGGACTACCATGCAAACCATTAAGAATCGTCTTTTATGAAGTGCAGCAAAGAACAAAGGAAGATGCTTACTATGTAACTTTTAGTGAAACATAATATAGATTGTATATATAGTTTCAATTATGTAAAAATCTGTGGAAAGAAAAATCTCAGAATGTTAACAGTATCTCTAGGAGGTAGGATTATTTGTGATTCTAATTTTTTATGCATTCTGAGACCGTCAGAAATAAGCAGTAGCCCTAGCCAGTTTGGATCGGTGGTTAGAGCATTGGCCCACGGACTGAATGGTTGTGGGTTTGATTCGGTCAAGGGCACATACCTTTGTTGCAGGCTCGATTCCCGGTCCTGGTCAGGGTGCGTGCAGGAGGCAACCAATTGATGTGTGTCTCTCACATTGATGTTTCCTCTTTGTCTCTCCCCCTTCCTTCTGCTTTCTCTAAAAAATCAATGGAAAAAATATTCTCGGGTGAGGATTAACCAAAACAAAAGAAATAAGCAAAGTGAGTATCACTCTAAGTCTCATCTCCTCTCTATCCCTTGTCCAGCTTCTAGAACAAGCCCTGGTCATTGAGGAACAGCTTCGGCGGGCAGCTTACCTGAACATGTCAGAGGACCCTTCTCACCCTTCCATGGCCCTAAATACCCGCTTTGCTGAGGTGGAGTGTTTGGCAGAGAGTCATCAACACTTGTCGAAGGAGTCAATGGCAGGAAACAAGCCTGCCAATGCGGTCCTGCACAAAGGTAGCCAGTGACTCTCCTGCCTCCTGCTGACTCGGAGTCCTTCCTCCTCCACTCCTCCCCAATACACATTTCTTGTTTCCAAAACCTTTTTCAGGGTCCTTTTGTCTGGGAGCTTAAGATGTACTGGGGATCTGTGCCTTCCTCCTTGGGAAGCTATTATCTTAGAGCAGCGGTTCTCAACCTGTTTGTCGCGACCCCTTTGGTGGTCGAACGACCCTTTCACAGGAGTCGCCTAAGACCATCCTGCATATCAGATATTTACATTACGATTCATAACAGTAGCAACATTACAGTTTTGAAGTAGCAACAAAAATAATTTTATGGTTGGGTCACAACATGAGGAACTGTATTTAAAGGGCCAGAAGGTTGAGAAACACTGTCTTAGAAGCAATTAAGGATAGTAGTTCTTTGCCTCTTTTAATATATTCAAGTTCTTGGAGGTGGGAAGCAAAGCAGAATAATATAATGTCATCTGGGATACTTAAGAGGTAACGTAAGGTGATTTAAGATCCCAACAAATCTAGACCTCTTTCTAATGAAAGTTAAAACATTGTGAGGGAGGTGGAGGATGAAATGAGGAAAAGAAGGCATAAATAAAGGAGGAGACAGCTCCAAAAGATGGAGAGGATAGTGAGAAAAGGAAACAATAGGAATAAGCTTCTTTTTTTTTTTTTTTTTTTTTTATTGATTTTTTACAGAGAGGAAGGGAGAGGGACAGAGAGTTAGAAACATCGATGAGAGAGAAACATCGATCAGCCGCCTCCTGCACATCTCCTACCGGGGATGTGCCCGCAACCCAGGTACATGCCCTTGACCGGAATCGAACCCGGGACCCTTCAGTCCGCAGGCCGACGCTCTATCCACTGAGCCAAACCGGCTTCGGCAGGAATAAGCTTCTTAAGAAGTAGCGGAAGTAGAGACAATAGGGAGCAAAGGGCAGAGAGGGTTAGGTGACTTTAAAAGGCACAGATACAAAATAACCACGGGATGTGAAGCACAGCATAAGGAATATTGTCAGTAATGCTGTCATGACAGGTATGGTGTCAGATGGTACCAGACTTGTCAGGGGTATCAGTTTTGAAAGTACATGATCATTAAGCCACTATGCTGTACACCTGAAACTAATGTAAAATAATATTGAATGTTACCTGTAATTAAATAAACATTTAAAAAAGGCATAGCATCATGGACAGTTGGAACTGGAATATGAGGAGTAGGAATTTGAGTGTGGTGGAGGCCAGGTCAGGAGACTGATAAAGGACAGCACTCCAGCACATCAGTCGCGTGGCCACTGAGAAGTCATGGGCAGACACAGGTCCACTATGGTAAGCAGGAGCTGGGTCTGCACCTCAGCTCACCACCTTTTCCCCTTGCAGTTCTCAAACAGCTAGAAGAACTGCTGAGTGACATGAAAGCTGATGTGACTCGACTCCCAGCTACTATTGCCCGGATTCCCCCAGTTGCTGTGAGGCTACAGATGTCAGAGCGTAACATTCTCAGCCGCCTGGCAAACCGAGCGCCTGAACCTACTCCACAGCAGGTAGGACCATTTTCTTTTCTTTTTTTAAAAAAATAGATTTTTACTGATTTCAGAGAGGAAAGGAGAGGGGAGAGAGAGACATCAATGATGAAAATCATTGATCGGCTGCCTCCTGCATGCCCCCCACTGGGGACCGAACCCGCTACCCGTGCATGTGCCCTTGATTGGATTCGGACCTGGGACCCTTCAGTCCACAGGCCGATGCTCTATCCACTGAGCCAAACCAGCCAGGGCAGGACTTTTCCTCATGTTCCCTGTCCCAGCAGAGCCATTCTGGAACCTGTAACTTTCACTCTGTGTCCCTAACTGGGCAGGTGGGGCCTTCCTACCAGGGAGTTCTCTGGGGATCTGGTGAATACTGGTTTGGAATTCTGACTTCCATGTCTCTCTCTTGCTATAGGTTGCCCAGCAGCAGTGAAGATCCAGACTGACGATAACCATCTTCACCGCTGAGCAATGAACCTTCCTCACTTTCCCTTGCCCAGCTTCTTCCTTGGGGGCCTGAGAGACCCTCTCCTTCCTTCTGCCCATCTTCCGTGTTGTAAAGGAACAGCCCCCAGTCCACTGGGGGAGGGGAGGGAGTGAGGGCGGTGGTGCCCTTCCTGCTGGAGAGAATGCAGCAGTAGCGCCGGCGCCATCTGCAGGGAGCTGGCGGGCTGGCTGGCCTTCTTCTGGGCCCTGGCTTTCCCCACTGTAACGTCTGTTACACACAAACTGTTGTGGGTTCCTGCCAGGCTTGAAGAAAACGATCTGAATTTCTTCGTTCTTTTGGTTTTATTTTGTTGATTTATTTTGTGTTTTCTTTTCTCCTTTTTTGGGGTATTCGGAGTGGGCTGGGCCCCTGGGTGAGACACAGCTACCTCTGTTGGCATCTTTTTAATACCAGGAACCCAGCGGCTCCAGCCACGGCTAGAATGAAATAAAGTTTGGAAAAAAAAAAAAAAGGAAAAGAACCAAAAGCATAAAAACCACAGCAAAATTTCTTGATGAAAATTGAAAATAAAAGTTTCCTTGTATTTTAGTGCGCTGGTTCAGTGTGGGTTGTAGGAGCAGGGATGCATGTGTGTGACCGGAGCCCTGGGAATGTGTAAAGGAAACGGAAGGTTCTGGTAGTTGGCAAACGCGCTCCTGCCCGCGTGCATGTGCCCTTGTGCTGCAGACCAAGGGCGACGGCTCCTTCTCCCCTGGAAGGTGGGAGGCTCCCAACCACCTGGGCTCACCTGCCATTTCATGGGCTGAGGTTTCCCATGTATGAAGTGATCTTCAGAAAGTCGGGATGATAAGCCCAGGAATGTGCTTGGGACAGTGTTTAACAGCTGCCAGCACTAGCTTAGTATTTATGAGAAGGAAGGCTGATACAGCTTTTCCTTGCTCACTTAGGGAAGTCAAAGTGCAAGATGTCCACCCGGTCCTCAGATGTGAACCTAAGCATGAAACTACCCGATGGGCTGAACAGGCGTCTGGGATCAGGAAGAGGGTTCATAATCACAGGGTTGGGAGCAGGCAGGGGCCAGGGATGCCATGATCTTCGACGAGGAAGAGTGGAGGTGCCAGGAGGAGGGCCCCGCTATTTCGCCTTGGTTTGGGGTGAGGCGGAGGCCTTCAGGTACCATTTTCCCAACTGAAACCTGCAGTGAGGCCACACGCTCAGGCCAGGAGGGAAGGGCGGGGGAGCTGAGGACGGCTCCGCCATTGCCTTCTCTCGGAGTCTGAGTAGGGCGGTCCGCTCCTGAATTTCCCCCGGCCGCAGCGCGGACCGCCAGGCGCGCGTTCCCAGAGCGCCCGTGCGTTCCGGGTTCCGCGGAAGACCGGAAGAGGCGGGGCCACCTGGCGAGCGCGCCCCGCGTCGGCGTAGAACGTTTCCTGGGAGAGGCGTCAGAGCGGCAGCCTCAGACTGCACGTGGATTGCTGCCCCTGGTGCCGAGGGCGCGTCTCGGGCCCGGACCCGCTTTCAGGTGAGCCGAGGCTTCGGAGGACTCCGGAGGAAGTCGGGGAAGGGAGCACTGACCTGGGCTGGGGCATGAGGACGGGCCGCGGTACAGATGGCGTGGAGACCGGGTCTCGTCGTGGGAGGAGTTTGGTCAGGCCTCGAGGGGCTGTCGGGGTGCTGAGTCGAGGTTCTGGTGGAGATGATGCCCCTTTCCACTCAGATAGGCCAAGTCTGCGGGCTGCCTTTCCCTTTCCGACACGGCGACTCACTCCCATTTTCCTTTTCCCCAGTATCATGGGGCGCAAGTTGGACCCGACCAAGAAGGAGAAGCGCGGGCCCGGCCGAAAGGCCCGAAAACAGAAGGGCGCCGAGACCGAGCTCGCCAGGTTCTTGCCTGCAGGTGAGGCTCAAGCTTGCCTCCGATTCTCCAGCTTGTGCGCCGCTTTTCCATGTGCATTGAGAACCTTCATTCCCTCCCCTTCCTGTTGAAGCCGAATCTCTTCTGTGTGAGTTACTAGGAATAAGTATGAATGAAACACGCCATCAGCGCTAGAGCTTAGGGAAGAAGCGACGGGGACACGAGTACCCATAACAGAGAGAGGTTTAACCCTGAAGGAGGTGTCCTCACGCGGTGAGAGAACTTAGATTTTCAGAACCTGGGCTTTGAAGAATGGAAGCTATTTTATTTATTTTTTTAAAAAATATATTGATTTCAGAGGGAAGGGAGAGGGAGAGAGAAGCATCACTGATGAGAGAGAATCATTGATTAGCTGCCTCCTCCTGGCTTATGGGTCAACACTCAACCACTGAGCCACTGGCCGGGCTGGGTGACGTTCTAGCAAGTGCAAGTTGGGAAGGGGACAGGCCTGTGCCTGTGAACTGCGTTGTGGAGGGGACGGAGGTGGGAACACAGAAATCTGGTTCCCACATGGGAGCAGTCTGCTGCGGGGAAGACTGGCAGAGGAGACAGGTAGTTGGATTGCACATTGGAGACAAGATGCAGTGTATTGGCTGAGCATTATACTGAGCCCTTTGGACACATTGTTATGCTTCGTTCTCTTGGTGCCCCTGAGAAAGGCACTGTTAAGGAAGTGGATGCTGAGAGGTTAATTACTTGCAAACAGTTACTAAATGAAGGGTTGAGATTTAAACCCTTTATTTCTTGGAGAATGTATGAAAAACAGCAGTTGTAAAGGTAAAATCCGCAGTGGTTGATAACCAGTTAAATTGAGAATGAGGGAAAGAGCAGAAGAAGCTCTAGCTTTTAAATCTTTGTTATCAGAACGGTGATGGTGCTCCTTATTGAAATCAGAAGTCTGAGGGAGGCTCAGTTTGGATTTGGTTGTTGAACAATGAGATGGAGATCATCTCCTTTATATTTCTTACCCAGCTCCTGGTAAAGCACCGTGGAGTGAATTAGAATTGACCCCCTTTCATTAACTTTCTTTCCTCGCTTCTTCCCTCTGTCCTTGCTGTTTTTTATTTTCCCTGTAACTTCCTATTCTTTCTCTCTCTCTCTTTTACAGCTGGTGATGAAAATTCCAAAAGGCTGTCCAGTCGTGCTCGAAAGAGGTGAGTGTGGATGTCCAGACTTATGTAGATTAAGTTGATGCTGTTCATCTTCAGCCACGTGACCCCATGTGATCATGCTGATGAAAGGGTTGTGTGGGGACTGTCGCACTTCCTTGTGATGGGAAATGTCGAACCTGGAGGTGTATCCCATTTCCTCAGTCCCTATATGTTTTCATATATTTTCAGGGCAGCCAAGAGGAGGTTGGGGTCTGCTGAAACCTCTGAGATGAATAAGCGTCCTGGGGTCAAACCATTACCTGGAAAGCTTCCAAAAGGTGAGTGAAAATAGGAGCCGGGTGCTACTTGAAGAGTCCTGTGGGCCTGGGAAGGGAAGGGCCTGCTGATCATTTCTGGAGTGAAAGGATATTCCTGGGGGTGGGAAGTACAGAGTGTGGCTGCCATTAGTTTAGGTTTCTTCCAACCCTTAGGGATCTCTGTAGGAGCTCTGCAGACACCTGGTAAGAAGGGAGCCCAGTCCTTACTTAACACTGCTCGAGGCAAGAAGCGCCCAGCACCGGCCCATAGCAGTGACGAGGAGGAGGAGGAGGAAGACTCTGAAGAGGATGGTGTGGTAAACCAGGGGGACCTCTGGGGCTCTGAGGACAGTGATGCTGATATGATAGATGACTATGGAATAGACTCCAACTCAGAGGACAAAGATGAAGAGGAGGTGAGTTTATTTCTCTGGTTGTTCAGGAAGCGATCCTTGCATTGTAGTCTTTCCAGATCCTTGAGACAGGGATAACCCTGAGTAGAAAAAAGGGATTTTAGTGTTTTAACACTGTTTTCCTATCACCTTACATCATTCCAGGGCACATGCATGTTTAAGTGAGCTGTTTGCTAGAGCGTGAGAATGCTCAGTGCTGATGAGGATGTGGTAGGGTGGACACTTGGTACCCCACTGATGGAAATAAAAATGCACACTTTTTTAAAATATAAATTCATTTTAATATATTGATTTTATTGATTTCAGAGAGGGAGAGAGAGCTAGAAACATCAATGATGAGAATCATTGATCGTTTGCCTCTTGCACACCCTATTGGAGATTGAGCCTGCAACCCAGGCATTTGTCCTTGACTGGAAACGAACCCTTCAGTCCACAGGCCGATGCTCTATCCACTGAGCCAACCGGCTAGGGATAGACTGGCACATTTTTTATAAAGCATTTGCTGAGAACCTTAGAAACTTTTTCTTTCTTCTTTTTAAAAATATTTTTTATTGGTTTTAAGAGAGAGAGAGAGATGTGAGAGCGAAAAATCAGTTTGCTGCTTCTTGCACCCCTATACCTGGGATCGAACTCACAACCCCGGGCACATGCTCTGACTAGGAATCGAACTGGCAACCTCTCCGTGCACGGGACAATACCCAACCAACTGAGCTATGTCAGCCAGGGCTAGAAACGTTCTTTACCTAGTAATTTCATTTAGGAAATGATCCAGATGTGGACAGATTATTTACAGAGGTGTAAGAAGTTATTTATGTATTCTACAATTAGTATATAGGTGTGTTATTAGAGAATTTTAAGTAATATAGAGTTATATAGAATTTTTAAAAAGCCCCCGAAAATCAATTGAAAAAGAAAAAGCAAGTTCTAATTTGCACCCCTCACCCACAAGCCACATCTCTCTATAGAGCTCCTAATACGAGGTTTTGAGGCACCACATGCACTCTAATGTGAAAAGCTCTGAAAATTTCAAACTACCCAATAGACATCTGCTAAGTAACACTTGGCCATCGTGTCCGAATGTGCCTTTTCTCTGTGAATGAGGAAAAGCAGGAAACATATGGAAACGTATCATGATTTTAACTGTAGGAAAAGTAGAATAGGGAGCATTTGAAATCTTGCTTCTCAGCAATTGTTGTCAATTTTGGCTCAAATAAACTCTTATAAAACTTCTCTTAAAAAAAAAAAAAAAAGAAGTCTGGAAGAAAATATGGCAGAAAAGATGCCTAAGGGCAGTTTTTGTCCTCCCTGTACACATATGGCCTGTATTCATGTCTTAAACTTCTTAATGGAAAGGGAAATGCAAAAGTAGATAGGACAGTATAAGGACCCCTTTGTGCCAATGTTAAATTCATGTCTTTAGGGTCTATGTTTCCTTCTGAGAGCAAGTGTTACATTTGTATTTAGGAAAAAATAAAATACAGAGATACAAAGTGCTAGTGGGTTGGTGGGAGGGCAAGCTCTGCATCACCAGCCTCTCCTCTTTTTCAGTTGCTGCCCATTGAAAGGGCTGCTCGGAAGCAGAAGGCCCAGGAAGCTGTTGCTGGGTGAGTTTTGGAAACTTTAGGATGGAGAATAGCGGCTGGGATGAAGGAAAAGGTGAGGAAGGAAGAGGCGTCTGTTTTGATCTGTGAATCACTTTGTTCCTGGGCCTGTTTCTAGGGGCCCGTGGAGTGAGGAGGAAACTGACGAAGAGGAGGAAGTGTCCCCTGAGTCAGGCCCCCAAAAGGAATACGAGACAGATGGGGGCCTGCAGATCAACCTGGATGAAGAGGAGCCTTTTGTGCTGCCCCCTGCTGGGGAGATGGAGCAGGATATCCTTCCAGTGAAGGGTGAGGGGTGGGGGAAGGTGCTTGCTGGAGGGGATTTCCAGGCCCTGGGCCATTATGGAACAGTTTCTTAACAAGCCCACGTGCCCAGGCTCCAGACTTGCAGCGAATTCACAAGCGCATCCAAGACATAGTGGGAGTGCTGCGTGACTTTGGGACTCAGCGGGAGGAAGGCCGGTCTCGAGCTGAGTATCTGCACCGGCTTCAGCGGGATCTGGCCACTTACTACTCCTATGGAGACTTTCTGCTTGGCAAGCTCATGGACCTCTTCCCTCTGTCTGAGGTACCGAATTGCCAATCTAGTGCTCCTTCTGCTATCACCTCTCTTCTTACCCTGAGTAAGGAAGGCGGTCAGCTCCCTTGTTCAATTCTGGCTGAGCTTGGCCAGCCTGACTTGGTCTTGCCATCTTACTTTACCAGCTGGTGGAGTTCTTAGAAGCTAATGAGGTGCCTCGGCCCATCACCCTCAGGACCAACACCTTGAAAACCCGGCGCCAAGACCTTGCTCAGGTGAGGGGTGGGTTTTGAGGTTTGCTTGTCTCTGGGAGGTACTGACTTCTGTTAACCACAGAGACTCCCTGTCCCACCCTGACTAGTATCGGTTGTTGGTATAAACATGATTCCAGGAGGCAAACCTATATAGGTCTGGTGTCATGCTGGTCTGTCTGACTGGCTGGGGGCCTAGGACCTCTGTGAAGTGGAAAACTCGCCCTTTAGCCTCTGCTCCCTGTGACAGGTGAGACACCTAAATAAGGATGAAAGTGCTACCTCAGAAATGGGAGGGACTTGTCTGCCTTTTAGATCATTGAGAAGCTGGTGAAACTGATTCCCCAGAAAGAGAGCACATGGGCACAAACCATGTTTTAGGCTCATTGTTTCCAAGGGCTCAAGGACCCCCGGTTAAAGACCCTTGTTCTAAAGTTCAGTTCACCTGTGTGTGTTATATTCCCTGGTACAAAGATAACCTGATAATTATCTTTAATGTGCGCTAACCAATAGGGTTAAATTCTGGTATGTTAAAGGGCTAAGCCTCTTGGAAAATTGGAATCCCCTTCCAGGAAATAGCAGGAGCTGCCAGTCTGCTTCAGTGGGATGAAGTTCAGACCTTGAATTAGAGCCTCAGGCTAAGGAAAAGGACACCAGGGGATGGGGTGGGGTGGGATGTGAGAGGAGAAAGTGCTTTCAGTGAGTCTGTGGGGGTTATTTTCTAAGAGGTCTAGGAGTTGTCACCGACTTCCTGATAGGACCAGGTTTTCATATCTCCATCTGTTTTCTGGACATGGTAACCTATAAGGCTTTAAAAATTTTCATGCTTGCCCTAACCGGTTTGCTCAGTAGATAGAGCGTCGGCCTGCAGACTGAAGGGTCCCGGGTTCGATTCCAGTCAAGGGCATGTACCCTGGTTGCAGGCACATCCCCAGTAGGAGGTGTGCAGGAGGCAGCTGATTGATGTTTCTCTCTCATTGATGTTTCTAACTCTCTATCCCTCTCCCTTCCTCTCTGTAAAAAAAAAAAAAAAAAAAAAAAAATCAATAAAAATTATATATATTAAAAATTTTCATTTTTACCTTCAGGCGCTAATCAATCGTGGGGTTAACCTGGATCCCCTGGGCAAGTGGTCAAAGACCGGACTGGTAGTATATGATTCCTCAGTGCCCATTGGTGAGTGTTCCCTGATCAGTAGCCCTTCTGCCTCTGCCCTTCTCCCAGCATGTCACAAACAGGTCCTCCTCTGCAGGTGCTACTCCCGAGTACCTGGCTGGGCACTATATGCTACAGGGAGCCTCCAGCATGTTACCTGTCATGGCCTTGGCACCCCAGGAACATGAGCGGATCCTGGACATGTGTTGTGCCCCTGGAGGAAAGACCAGCTACATAGGTATGAGAAATGCAGGCAGGAGTAGGATTTGTCTGGTTCTCTGCTTTTGAAAGTAGATGGGGTTGGAGACTCACTAGTTCTCAGGAAACTGCACAGAGAGCAGGGTGGTGAGGAGTACAGACTCTGGATCCAGCCTGAGTTCCAGCCCTGTGGATGACACTGAGCACCTCGGGCAAGCCTTTGACTTTCTTTTGTCACCAGTAAAATGGGGTGGTAATTGTGCTTGGGTTGGCTTTTATATTATGCTTGGGTGATAAGGGTTGAGATATACATATAGAGATACTTGGTATAGTAATTAGTCATAACCATTTCTTATTAAGCTGTTAACGCTTAAAAGAAGTAACTTAGTCTGTGGGACCAGAGAGATGTTCAGTAACGATGGAAAAACCCATGTTGATGAGTGTGCTCATCACCAGGGGTCAGTGCAGACTGGGGAGACCCATGCAGTAGGCAGTGGGGAGCAGGGCTGATTGGGGTGAAGTTTCCCTTGAGGTGCTGAGACTTCACCTGTGGATTCCTGGGCTGGAGGTACTAGCAAGTGTGGGGGCAGAGGAGCTGGCTGCTGAGCTCTTACCCTCCCTCCCCCCAGCCCAGCTGATGAAGAACACAGGTGTGATCCTTGCCAATGATGCCAATGCTGAGCGGCTCAAGAGTGTTGTGGGTAACCTGCACCGGTTGGGAGTCACCAACACCATTATCAGCCACTATGATGGGCGTCAGTTCCCCAAGGTGGGACTCCCTCTGTGCATCTCTCCTGGGGTGTCTTCCAGTTCACCTGCCCCCTTCCTGGCATCAGAATATTTAGACTTGCCTCTAGGAAGTAAATGGTGCAGTATAGGTGACTAAAAGCGGTGATTAACCTACACTTTTTCTCCAGGTGGTGGGGGGCTTTGACCGAGTACTGCTGGACGCTCCCTGCAGTGGCACTGGGGTCATCTCCAAGGACCCAGCTGTGAAGACTAACAAGGTGAGGAGCTGGGGTGGGGGTGGGAATAGCTGAGAGGTCTCGGCTGGGCCTTGTAGAGCAGGAGTGGGAGGTGGAGGGGCACCCGGGGCACCCAGCAGCTCACCTCTCTTCCTGAGGCTGCCTTTTGAAATTCTGACACTCTTGGGTCTCCGCCCTGGGGCAGGATGAGAAGGACGTCCTGCGCTGTGCTCACCTTCAGAAGGAGTTGCTCCTGAGTGCTATTGACTCTGTCAATGCCACTTCCAAGACAGGAGGCTACCTCGTCTACTGCACCTGTTCCATCATGGTGAGGCTTCTGCATGGCAGACCAGGCGGGCAGGGCTGGAAGACTTTGCCCCTTAGCTCCCTTCAGCTCAGCTCTGCTCTTCCTTCCATCTTTGTCTCCCCCACATATCCAGGTGGAAGAGAACGAGTGGGTAGTAGACTATGCCCTGAAGAAGAGGAATGTGCGGCTGGTGCCCACAGGTCTAGACTTTGGCCAGGAGGGCTTTACCCGCTTTCGAGAAAGGCGCTTCCACCCCACTCTGCGTTCCACTCGCCGCTTCTACCCCCACACCCACAATATGGATGGTTTCTTTATTGCCAAGTTCAAGAAATTCTCCAATTCTATTCCCCAGTCCCAAACAGGTAAGTGATCTCTCTACCCATCATCACTGCCTTTGCTCTTTCTGCCTTTCCAGAATCATTATAGTGTGAGTGTGGGGAAGGGACGACTTCTGCCATCCGTACCACAGCCTTAGCCTGCTTGGATAAGAGACCCCTTTCATCCAGCCAGGCTTGGTCCGAGCCGGGACCCCATTGGAGCATATTAGAGTGCTCCTGTGGATGCCAGCCTCTTCCTTTATCTACCAAGTGGTTGCACTTGCTCATCACTAAGTATGTTCCCAATGCGGATTGTGGTTTCTCTTCCTTCTTGGCCCAGGGTCACCTTACTGGTAATGGACTTCTGCTGGTCCAGCATTGTCAGCACTGGGTTGGCAATAAAACTCCTCAGAACTGTCCATTCTCTGAGCCCATCACACTAATTACAGATTGTTTTCTCAGCCATCTTGAGGCATCTGTCCTGGATCTCAAGGGGAAGTGTGGGGTTTGCTGGGCTCTGCATGCTGGGATATAACCTGGGTTTAGTTGGAAGAGGGAGAAGTGAGCGTCTCTGGATACAAACTGCATGGTTTATTGAGTTGGGTTTTTTCTTTATCAGTAGCAACCCTTATAAAAGTCACATCTGAATGTTAACAAAAACCTTAAGAAATAGTTGAAGTTTGTTGTAACTTTAAAAGTATGTATTTAAATGTCCGTACTCATTTATGTTTTAACTAGAGGTGCAGTACACAAAAATTCGTGCCCTCATGGGGGTCCCTCAGCCCGGCCTGCACTCTCTCGCAGTCCGGGACCCCTTGGGGGATATCCACCTGCAGGCTTAGGCCCGCTCCCCAGGGGAGTGGGCCTAAGCTGCAGTCGGACATCCTTAGCCCTTGCAAGTGTCAGCTCAGCTTGTGGCTGAATGGAGCTCTCTGTGTGGGAGTGCACTGACCACCAGGGGGCAGCTCCTGCATTGAGTGTCTGCCCCCTGGTGGTCAGTGCACGTCATAGCGACCAGTCGTTTCCAGTCATTCTGCCGTTAGGGTCAACTGGCATATTACCTTTTTATTATATAGGATAGCTTGTTTCTAGTTGTTGTGTTAGAATGTCTTGCTATCCTCTGTCCTCAGGGGGGCACAGCTTCCTCTAAAACTTTTTGGCCCAAGGATGGGTAGTGAACCCTTCTCTTTTTTTTTTTTTTTTTTAAAGAATTTTTGTGAGTTTATTTGAGCCAAACTGTCGACATATGCCGGGAAGCAGAACCTCAACGAATTGAGATAGTGCTCCCGTGAACCCTTCTCTTTAATGCAGGGTTCAAATAGGACTTGAGTGAAGCCAGGTGATACTAAGTAATGTGAAACCAGGTAGTCTACTCTAAGGCACTCTTTCAGTTATGTGGAACACTTGGCCAAGAAATAGTACCCAGGCAGTTGCCTTGTTTTAATGCCACTAATGATCAAGACCCAGTGATGAGGTCCTTTTTCTCACATAATCTGTTTAATTTTAGCCCCAGGAAATTCTGCAACATCCACCCCTACAAACCCAGATGTGCCTGACCTTAAAGGCCAGGTGACCCCCAAGCCTGAGAGCAGCAGCAAGCCTGCCAAGAAGGCCAAAGGGGCTGTGAAAGCAGAGTGGCACTTGCAGAAACGGCAACGTCCCAAGAAGACCTCCTTCCAGAAGCAGAATGGTATCCCCAAAGGGGCAGACTCTGAATCGTCCACTGGACCTTCTGTCCCAAAGGTCCAAGCCTCCTCCAAGCTCCAGGGTAACAGGCAGCCAGCTGAAAAGGCCGTAGTGATCAGGAAACCCAAGGTGACTGGGAAACTAAAGCAACTGTCACCTAAACTGCAGTCTTCCAAGAAAGTTGCCTTCCGGAGGCAGAATGCTCCTCTCAAGGGCATGGATACAGAGATGCCCTCAGGGCTGTCCCTCTCCAAGCCTCTGGCCACTTGGAAGCCTGAGAACTGTGTTCAGCCCCAAGGGGCTGAGAAGGTAAAGCAGCAGGTGCCACAGAAGCCTTCCAAGAAAGCTGCCTTCCAGAAACAGAATGGCACCTCCGAGGGACCCCAGACTCCTACCATGTCCCCCCTTAGTGCCAGCCGACCCCCACCAGCAAAGAGGAGAAAATCTCAGTCCAGAGGCAGCAGCCAGCCACTGCTGTCTTAGATACTTGGGTGAAATGAGACTGGGGTGCTCCTTGCTGTTGTCCCTGGGTTGGAACTCTTGCCTCTGTGAGGATGGCTTTCCCACTCTGCATATGAAGTTTAATATACATTTTGCAATCTCTGGTCGCTGTGTTTTTTGAGGGGGCCGAGTACTGGCATTGCTCCTTTAAGGGTAGATGGGAGGGTGGGACAGGGGATCCCTATCCTCCTAAGAGTGGACAGTGGTACACGGAAATCAGGTCAGTGTTAGGTTCCTGGGACCCCTGGGACTCCAGGGACCCGGAAAGGAGAGCGCAGGAGTTGGAGATAGGGTGTTGGGGAGAGGAGGGTGATAGGGGTGTGGGGAGATGGACTTCCTGACACCAGGACCCATGGCGGACTGGAGGGTTGGGGTTTCGGCCACCCTGGCTGGGATCTGGGCACAGGCGGGTCTGGCGGGTCTGGCGCTCAGAGAAGCGCTGGCTCGTGCTCTGCTCAGCTCTGGGCTCTGCCTCAGACCCGCAAAAGTTGAGGTGCCAACCCCAGATTGAGCCTTTCATTGGCTTCCTCTGCGCCCTCCCCCGCCCCCTTGACCTCTGCCCTTCCTGCCGAGCCGTTTGATTGGCTGTCCTGCATCCCCCGGGCGCCTCATTGGCCCTTCTCCCTCGCCCTGCATCCCTGCCCCTGCACCGGGCTCCATCTCCCAGCAGAAGGCGCAGCCATGAATCCGTTATTCGGGCCCAACCTCTTCCTCCTACAGCAGGAGCAGCAGGGCCTGGCCGGGCCGCCGGGGGACCCTCTGGGAGGCGACCGCTTCGCGGGGGGTGGGGACGCGTCCCCGTCGCCGCGCGCCCCTCCGGGCCCGGCTGCCTACTCGCCGCCCGGGCCGGGCCCCGCGCCCCCCGCCGCCATGGCCCTCCGCAACGACCTGGGCTCCAACATCAACGTGCTCAAGACCCTGAACCTCCGTTTCCGCTGCTTCCTGGCCAAGGTGCACGAGCTGGAGCGCCGCAACCGGCTGCTGGAGAAGCAGCTGCAGCAGGCGCTGGAGGAGGGCAAGCAGGGCCGGCGGGGCCCGGCGCGCCGCGACCAGGCCGTGCAGACCGGCTTCGTCAGCCCCATCCGGCCCCTGGGGCTGCCCCTGGGCGCCCGGCCGGCCGCTGTCTGCACCCCGTCGGCGCGGGTGCTGGGCTCGCCCGCGCGCTCGCCCGCCGGCCCCCTCGCGCCCGCCGCCGCCGCCTGCCACTCCTCGCCCTCCGCCTCCACCTCCGCCGCCTTCTCCTCGTCCGCCCGCTTCATGCCCGGCACCATCTGGTCCTTCTCCCACGCCCGCCGGCTCGGCCCGGGACTGGAGCCTATGCTGGTGCAGGGGCCTGGCCTGTCGTGGGTGCACCCCGACGGGGTGGGCGTCCAGATCGACACCATCACCCCCGAGATCCGCGCCCTCTACAACGTGCTGGCCAAGGTGAAGCGCGAGCGGGACGAGTACAAGCGGAGGTAGGGATGGGGACCGGCCGGCCGGCGGGGGTGGCAGGCGGGGGCTGGCTTAGGGTCCTGCCACACTCGGGCCAGGGCGAGGTGCGGGGAGGAGGGCAGCTGGGGCCACAGAACCAGGGAGGACTAACACCAGAGTAAGTTGCTGCTGTGTAAGGAGGAGCTCGGGAGTGGCTGGGTGGCATTGGCTCCCGGAAGATGATCCACAAGAAAATGCAGAAGTCAGACCCGTGACAAGAAGGAGCCCGGGAGCGGGATACTGAGGGGAGTTCATCGATTTCTTCTGACTTGTCTGTCTGCCTGTCTCCTCTAGGCTGCAGTGTTTGGAGGAGGGTGTACCTGGGGTTTCGTGAGGTGTGAAAGGGACAGGGGTCTGCGAAGGCACATCTGGGGTACTGCTTATCCCCATCAGTCTCAGCCCTCGGGTGGTTTTGTGATATAAGCTCCACATACGGATGGAAAGAAGAGGCAGCAGCTTCAGTTTGGAAGTCTAATGTGAAATTAGAAGGGAGTGGCCAGGGAGGGCTGCCGGGTCCGGTGGGTGATCCTGCCCCTGCCCAGAGCTTCCCAAGCAGTGCTGGGAATGGAGGCTGGGTCCCTGCGCTGGTTAAAGGCTCAGGGACAGCAGGGCATTGCTTGGAGGAGGTCAAAAACATGGGGCAAGAGTCATGGGCGTTCCCTAGGGAAAGGGGAGGGAGTGGTAGTGGTAGGGCTAGTGGGAGATGGGGAATCTGAAAGTGCAGAGCCAGGGCGGAGGCACGGAGAACAGTCAGCAGAGGAGCCGGGAGGAGAAAGTTGGGAATGTGGACACTCCCTGTGAGTATACAGCAGCTGGGGCCAGGCTCGGTACCTTCTGAGGATGAAGATTTGGCTTTTTGCGGGGAACCTGGCAGGGTAGCACAAAAGGCCAGGTGAAGGGATGGCATGCTAGAGTGCTGGCTGCGTGCCATGTGGCTGCCTTAGAGGGTTGATAAGCAGGCTGTTGGGACAGGAGCACTAGGGCAGCCAGCCTGATGCCATGGTCAAGGAGGAAGGTGACTGACTTTGGTTTGGGGGCCTTCAGGTGGAACCTCCTAATTAGCTACTCTGACCCCTAGTGGGCAGGCCCGGGAATTACCCTTGCAGCTGAACAGCAGAGATTTGTCTGATGGGGATTGGCTGAATGTTCTGGGAAGTTACCCAGGGACGACCTTCAGGCATCTGTAATCTGCCGGAGTCTAGCCAGTCACAGATCAGCATGCTTTCTGAGGCTGAGTTTTGTCCTCATACTGGCTTCCTTAGTTGTGGGCCATGTTATGAGTGTCTTTAGGAATCCCGGTTATCCTAATCGTTCAGATGCCACCCAGACCCAGCCTGCCCTTGCTGCAGCCCCAGCCGGAGTTCATTAACACAGTGAGCAGTGCAACACGGGACAGTTTTGGAATCCATCTACAACCACAGGAACAACTGCTGTTCTTAGGGCCATGTTTTTTTTAACTGAAAGAGTGTCTGTCCTTGGTCCAGCTGTCCAGGCAGCAAAGAGTTATTCCTTGGGGACTGATGAGCTCATCACTCTGCAGCAGGCTGCTGTGCAGAGGGCCCCGCAGCTAGAGCTGTATGGTACTGACACTGGCAGTTACTCATCCTTCCCCCCCAGATCCCCTGCCCTCATTCTGTTCTCTTTATAGCAACACTGTAGCTCCTGTCTGTAGCCCTCAAGGCCTGGCCAGAGCTTGAACACTGAACTGGGAGGGAGCTGGAGCCTCCTGCTTTCAGTTCCCCTTCCTTGTGTGACCTTGCGGGGGGGGGGGGGGGGGCGGGGGCGGGGGCGGGGAGGGTTCTCTTTCCTGGCCTCAGTTTCCTCCCCCCCATAGGAATGGCCCCCGCTTCCTCGCTTGACTCAGGGATACCGTTTATCTGGCAGAGAGGGGGTTGGTAAACAGAATACACAGAAATTGCTCAAATCCTACATATTAAGGGAACGTCCTTAGGACAGATTTGAACGGAGGTCAAAATGAACCTATTTGTGGAAAAGTCTGACTGGAGTGTAAATAGAATTCTAGTGAGCTTCCACGATTTTTTTTTTTTTTTTTTTTTTACCCTGTACGATTTTATTAACCGTAATCCTTACATAACTTCCTTAAGTTTCTACCTGAATTTGTTGAATTCGCTATCAAACAATGCTTCCCCCCCTTCCTGATGCATGGTGTCCAGGGTTAATGTCCCGTTGTCAGTCTTGCCTTCTTCCTCCAGGGACTCGGGGCCCGAGGGTACCACTTCCCAAGCCTTTATGTTATAGATGAAGAAAACAAGGCCAGGAAAGATAAGGATCTTGTAGAAGACAATATATAAGGGGAAGGACGGGGCAGCAGGGAACCAAAAAGGCTGTGCCCTGTCTGGGCTGCATGCTGAGCCAGCAGGGTGGTGGCTGGCAGGGTGGCGGCTGGGCTGGCTGCCTTCTCCCTGCCCAGCTGGGAGGGGCAGCCTTGGTGTTGTAGAAGTTATTCTTAGGAATACTGCAGTGCGGATGTGAGTGCGGAACATGAGAGCCAGGCGCGACTGGAGGGGGAGCCAGGGAACAGTGCGAGGGCGAGATGGGAAAAAGGTGGAGGAAGGATTGAATCCCATGGCTACAGAATACGTTCTCTCGGGTTTTCATTTTCTTACTGTCCCCTTTGCTACTCCTGAACCACCTTTCTTATACTGAAGTTTCTCTCAGTGCAGTTCCCCTCCTTTCTCAGACCGGAAGAAGTCTTCCCAGAATGTGGCAAGGCCCTAGCCGGTTTGGCTCAGTGGACAGAGTATCGGCCTGAGGACTGAAGGGTCCTGGGTTCGATTCCGGTCAAGGGCACATGCCGGGATTGTGGGCTCAGTCCCTGGTTGGGGGGCGTGCAGGAGGCAGCCGATCAATGATTCCCTCTCATCATTGATGTTTCTATCTCTCTCTCCCTCTCCCTTCCTCTTTGAAATCAATAAAAATATATTAAAGAACACAGCAAGAAGCGATAGGCTATGTGAGTGGGGTCCGAGAAGCCCCGCTATTCCAGCCAGCCTCGCAGGGCGCGGTGTTGCCCCCACGGCAGCCTTCCGTCTCAGTGATGTAGGGGACCAGGCGCTGGCTTCCCGGGGACCACCCTGTGTGAGAAGCCTGGTCCTGGACAGAGACCCTGCCTGTGGCGAGAGTGTTGGTCGCCTCTGGTGGGCTTAGTCTCCGAATCCTGCCCCCCAGGAGCTGCCACCTGTGGTTCTCACCCACTAACTCGAGACACTTTTTCGTACTCCAGGGTCCCTTCCCTCTGGGTTTGGGTGCTCAGTAGCCCCAGTCTCCTTCCACTGTCACCCCCCTCCAGCTCACTTAGCGGGGACTGGGTGGGCAGTTTTTCGGGCGTGCGGGGATGGACTGAGTGTCTCCTCTGTTGACGCGGTGTGTGTCCTGCAGCTGCTTTTACAGGGTTAAATGGTCCCGTGCGAGGCAGGGCAGCAGGCTAGAGGAGCTCTGTTCTGGTGCAGGCAGGAGGCGGGAGACCGGATCTGTGCCGCTGAAGGTGGGAGACTGGGCCGGGTGGGCCTGTGGTCTGGTGTGGGCAGGACGTGGGGGATGAGGCCAGCGGACAGCTGGTTGGGCCGGGGCCTGAATGGGACGGGCATGTGAAGGACCAGAGCAACTGC